AGTTTGTTTAAGCTTATTTGCATGCATTCCTCTATGTAGTTGTTAAGTGACGCTTGTTCTTCATAATTTTTGCGTTACTTATATGAACACTCGAAAGAATCACAGACCAATAGGGTTTGATCTGATTGAGTTAATTTCACAAGACAGAAAATTCTAGTTCTTCATTGTTAATGCCCTTCCAACTTGAAAGCCTCTCGAATTTATGCGTTAATATGGCGTCATGGTTTTTGGCTGTCTCTCTGTAGTATTAGGACACTTGATGACCAATCTTAGAGCTCATTATTGTTCATCTAGAACAGAGTATGTATTTGCCGAGTTTGCGAATTTGTTGGCTAGCTTTCTGAATAGATGGTGAAGATGTAGACTTGAAAACCTTTCAATGGAGAGTGTAGTACACTGTAGATTATAACTAGATCACAGCCATTCCCTGGTTCTGGAATCTGCAGTTCCAGAAAATATTCATAGTCACCCTGTGGAAGGTTATTAGAAATTCTGAGGGGGTGGGTGATCTCAAAAGCCAAAACTTTGAAAGGAAAGTTTGAAGCTAACCCGGAATTTCCAGAGGGGAAGGGTTCAAACCATTAATAAATATTCTTGCATGGGGAGGGTGGGGAGGCTATAGATAATTTCTGGATCACTAGTCTATTTAATGATGGCCACGTCATCTTTTTGAGAGAGATTGCTAGTATGTAGTTGTCAGATTCTACACAAAATTATTATGGTTTTGCTTTTCTGATAATCATTAAAATGCATTGAAGTAAAATTGTAAAAACTAACTGTTAGAGCTATGATCCATTAAACTATTAAATATGCAAAATTGAGTTACAGACTTGTCATAATGTTATTTTTCAAGTTCTGTTAATTTGCACTATTATGAAATTAACTTACCGAAGATTTTTTTGTTTTTCTTTTTATTAGCAGTTTTCAAGATTAAAGGCTTCCTGTGATGTCAAGGCTATCAAAGGTAACTTTAATCTAATACATGTTAAGACGAAATCCGATAGAAAATTGAGCAATTTCTGTACCTAGTGTACAAATATCTGTTGCCAGAATAATTTTAAGGATTTTACAGTCCTTTTTACATTTTCTTAAAGTTAAAGATTTAAATAGTTGCCTCAAATAACACCGAAAACAATTTTCCTTGGGAACGAGGGAAGACAAATTTCAAAGTTCAGAGAAATTGTGCTAACACAGGTAAAATTTCACCATCAGTTTCATTTCACCAGTACTTTCAAGTGATTCATGTGAAGTTTAACATTTGCTTTCAACATTTGATGTTGCTAGAAATGATTTTTTTAGAGAAGATATTTAAAACAGTTGTAGTGAAGTTTGTAATATGATGTGAATAATCTTGGTACAAAGTTTTTGCCCACTTGTTACTCGAACTTCTGGTGAATTCCGTCTTAAATCTTACTTTTACTGTGTTCTGAAGGTTAATGTATTCTGCTTGTTGTAAGACTTTGAATCATCGAGCTCTCATAACGTATCTTGAGTACATCTGCATGACTTATCTTAATGAAAAATACAGCTATATGACTGTTGGATCTGTTTTAATTTGAGTTTGATGTGTGCAGTGGAAAAATATACAAGTTTGTTTGTGAGTCACCAATATTACTAAACACAATGACCTGCAAACACACGTATACACAGACATGCTTGTCAAATACTGTCAAGACCGGAAAGAAAACTTGATGAATTTGTTTTGGCCAGTATGCATTGCATGCTATGAGCATTGGAAAACAACATAAACCTTGCTATCATTTAAAGCAAAACAATATCAGACGTACATGTAGGATAATGGTCAATGCTGGGTCTTTAAGATCATTCCACTGAACTAGAATCTGCACTGAGATTTTTGTGAAACTTTGCCTATTGATTGTTTACATGTATATTATAGGAACTTAAATTTTGAAATAAAAATGAGGGGTCCCCATGTTCGTTTAGGAGCAACAGCACCTTGTTTATACCCATATAAATCCTTNTCCTTAGAATAGCACCATGATTGTAGTCACGATTGCTTGCTAAATTCACGTTTCCGACGATTGCTTTTTGTTCTACACTGAGAATTGGTCCATTTTTATTTTACACAGAGAAATTTATTACTCAATTCAAAACAACAAAACAACAAGAAAAAAATGATAGGACACCATACTTGTTTGCAAGAAAATGACAATTTACCTCTATGGCGAGGTCCAGCTGTAAAGAAAAAGCTACCATTTTTTAATGCGTGCCCGCTAATCACTCGTGAAATTATGCGCAGTAGGGATGTGCAATGCAATACTAGGGAATAACCTTAAGTTAAGAAAAATATCTGCCAGGAAAATCCAAGAGGGACAAATATAGGCTAAGCTTTGAACTAAATGTTACAGCTGCATCTTAGAGTTTTTGTATTTTTTAGTGTTTGGGAGTCTGCCATTGGCAGTGTAGCCTCTACATCACAGGAAGGCCTGGAAGAAGAAGCTCCTACCTCAGCCTCCGACAGAACCTTGAATGTTACCTTGTTAAGTAGCGAGTGGAAGTCAACAAAGGGAGGCTTGTCAACCATCAGCAGAGAACTTGCAATACAGTTGGCTAAACACCCTAATGTGGAAGTTAGTG